GCCAAGGGTGGTTTGGTAAATTCTACCCTTGGCTAATTAAATATATGGACGGTCATTTTTAGTGTTTTTACGTATTATAATTAGATTAAAACAATTAAACCCTCGCTTAGACTCAAACACCCAAATCAAACTCTTCCCTCCCAAAAATATTCTCTCAAGAATACCATTGAAGGTCTAGGTCAAATTCAAGCAACGAGAAGGGATTTCAAGTGAGTGATTCACCAATTTTCATGGGATTCCTAACCCTAAGGTATGGTGATCCTTCATTCTTGAATAAGTTCTCATTCAAGGAGTCCAATTCAAAGGTTTTCAAAAGTGAATCAATGATCAATTTCTCAATTTCTATTCTATGCATAGGTTCATTGTTAAAACATTTTATAATTCATGATATTAATGTATTAATGTTAGATTAAGGTTTTTTAAAGATGATTTTAATGGAATTCCTTGAAGAACCCATGTTTTGTCCAAATCTCCTAAATTAGCTTACAAAGTGGGTTTGATGAATGTGATTGGATATTGTTAGAATTGTGTTTATATTGTGTTATACTGTTGTTATATATTGATATTCATGCCTAATTATGATGAATTGTTGAGAATTAAGAAAAATGTCATTTGGCTTGGATAAAGGGTAAGTTGGCCTAAATTGTTTTGGTTCTTATTGAATTTCTCTTGTGTGGTATGGTCCACTTATTGTGGTAGTGTTTATCTAATGTGTATATATATATATATATATATATGAATATGTATGAGTATTGTGGTTATGGACTTGAAGGAATTGAATGTGAAGTAAAGTAATGTTATGATGCATATGTATAGAGATGTATCATGAAGTTATGTATGTAATTCTTGATAATAATATGATTGTTGGAGTATAATGTGAATGTGAAGTATGCTTGTATGTGGATTATGATGAATGTGGTAAGATTATGTTTAGAAGTCAATGTCATGAAGAATGGTGGTTATGTGAAAGTCTTTCTCAGATATACACACACATAAGTGAAAGAATGAAAGAAGCTAATGAAAATGTAATGAAGGTGGGTCTATTGAAAGGTTTTCTTAATAGGACTCTATTGAATGAATGGGAGATGTTGGGATGGATAATTTCCCGTGAGTAGAGGTGGAGTGTATAGAAGAAATCTCAATATCCCCAAGATCATTCTAATGAATGAATGGGGGGCGTGGAGATGGGTACTCTCCGTTAGTAGAGATGTAGTATCTAGAAGTAATCTCAATATCCCTAAAGAGATTTCTAATGAATGAATGATAGGTTAGGTTGGGTGCTCTCCCGTTTTTACTAGTGGAGTACTTAGTAGCAATCCCATAACCTGTAATGAAATATTGTAATGAAAGTCTAATACTCTATAAGGATTAATGCTTACCACCGAGGAATAGAGGTGAGTACTCTCCCGTGAGTAGAGGTTGGCTACTTAGTAGCAACCTCTTGAGACGGGTACTCTTCGCTAGTAAAAGGTGTAGTATCTAGAAGCAATATCCTTATCCCTTAACTATGAACCCGCATAGGACTAGCTAGTGGTTTTCCACATAAAGGCTAAAAGAACGACCCTACTTTAGGCAATTGGGGATTCCTTATCCGGTAGGGGTAATTAGAAGGATTCCATGTGAAGCACCCATGATCTACGATCAGTAAATTTTTTCCCCCACAAAAGAGTGTAATTAAATAGGTCTTCCTAAGAGGTGTACTACTTAGGGTAGGTGGTGGAATGGGACACCATCTACGCATTGCACAAGTAGGCATTTTGAGGGAGTCTTGGTGTGTCCTTGCAATGTTAATGAATGAACGATTTTCTATATGATGTTAATGAAGTAAGTTATTTATGTCTAATATTAATGAATCATATTTGTCTTATGTCTAATGTTAATGAAGATTATGTGACTTGTTGAATGTGATGTACCTAGTCTAGGATGGTTCCAAAGGAGCACTAAGTGGGGGTAATAGAATGGGATGCTACTTTCACATTGCACTAGTGTAACTTAGAGTTATACTTGGGAATAGTCCTTGTGTGATATTCTTAAATGCATGAATGTTTTCCCTAGTATCTCTAGTAATGAATGTTGACATGTTGAGTTGTGATGGAAAGGAAATATCTTTATCTTCGGTAGTGTTAAGGAACACTTATGTGTATATTTAAGAGATTGCATGGGCGGTCTCTTCATGTCTTACCTAGGTGGATCTTAGGATAACATAGGATAGAGGGTCTAAATGGTTGAATGGGTTATTTAAATGAATATGGTCATATGTTGAGGATTATGGGAATATTACCTTGTATGTTGATGATTGACTTGTATGAGATCTTTCACACTTGGTTCATGAAGTCTTATCAAAATAGCATGAAAAACATATTTCAACTAAAATGTCCTCTTTAAAGCATGTTTTTGCATGATTGTCATACTTAGTGCTTAATTGTACTAATTCCATATCTTTTTGTCTAGTTCTACAAGTATAGGTGGTGGAAAGTGAGGATCCCTAGAGTTTGAAGCTTGGATTTGATTGTTCTCTCAAGATCTAGGTATGTCCTCATATGTTTGAGGACATGGATGTTATTTCTAGTTTTCTTTCATCAAAGGCATTCTATGAGACTTGAATCTTTCTTTCAATGTAAGGGTTGTATCCCTATGATAATGAGATGTGTCTAAGATGGCTTGTGACGAGACATAGTTCTTCTTACTTTTTATAAAAGAGTTTCCATATTGACTTTGTTATGAAAAGTTTGAATTCCTCTCTCCTTTTCATACCTATGTGATGAATGCATACTAAGAGGCTTGTATAAGACCTCTTCGAGGTCGAGTACGCCATGTTACTCCTAGGGGTACGCCCGGGTCGTGACATCATCGTCGGACAACTAGGTCCTCTATTATTCCATGTTGTCTTACCCACTTGCAAGGCTTCTGTAACCATTGCCGCCAGAGAGAAAAATTGTTTTCTTTCTAACGAAATTTGGTGGTAAAATGGAAAAGATAACCATGTTATAGTCGTTGTTTTTTCCTTCGGATCAAATAGCGGATCCCATTTGAGTGTACACATTGGGTAATAACAACTCTTATGTCCAATTTAATAAATAGGCTTTGATAGCAGATGAACATGATCCTCCATACTTGATTCTCTGATCAAAACATATCTAGTTCTTAGATATCATACCGTGCATTCATCCATCCACACGAGAACTTCCCAATCGCAGCAAATTGCCATCTTCATTCTCTGTCATCTATTATACATCTTCTTCCTCTCATACCAATCGTGGTTCTCCATGTAAATATGTCAAAGACTTCCTTAGTAGTGGGTGCTTTTTAGGTGTTGTAGGTTGTTATGTGGTAGCATATTCTGAAACAGGCTGAGCAACCCCCATCGTAGGCTTCCCAGCGGCGGGTGAGGCCATTAGTGGCGAAGATGACAAGGTTCTTAGGATTTTAGTTTTTAGGAGAGTGGTGCGACCTTTGTTTTGCTAGATTGTGATTGAAGAGTATCTTGTGTTTTTATAGAAATGTAATTTATGAGAAATTACTTGTGACTCCCCCCCCCCCCCAGAATTGAAGAAATAACATAAATGAGTTGAACTGAACAAGTAGTAATCAATCATCTTCTTCTATGTGATCTGGATTACATTACCAAAATATATTAATTATTGGTGATGTTAGCTGTATAAGAAGTTATATTATATATACTGAATGTTGTGCACTCTCCTACTTTCTCTTTGATAACGATGTTCTAATATTATATAATAAACAGAATCTTAAGAAGTAGAAAATCTTTCTGGAAAGAAGTAAGAAGCTGAATGTAATGTTGTAATGGCCAAAAGGTCAATTTCGATAAGAAAATCACATTTTTTTTATCCCTCGACAATGTAATAATTTTCCAGACTATTGTATCAACAGCCCAGGGTGCAGACACCTCTTGTATCATGATCAGTCTAGCAATGGTTAAACACCTGGATCAACTGCCGAATCAGTCGAACTTGAAGCCTTCGCTCCTATGTCAATGGTTGGGATAGCTGGCTTACCTTCTTAGTTAGGACATTTAAGCTTCCAGTAGACAATTGAGTTTTAATTTTTTACCTTTGACATTATGGATTTAGACTCACAACATTATGATAATAATAACATATACTCTTGAAAGTGGTATTGTGATGACCTTGCCTACTCCAAATGGTTTTGCGAGTTCAAATTGAAAACATATTCTTGGATAAAAAGACGATGATTTACTAATGCTTACGATGAAGAGTTGACAGAATTTTCTCTTTGAACATGCCAAAACATAGGGATAAATTTCAATTCTGGATTCACCTCACCTATCACAACACTGGATATCATTGCCCATTTTCATACATCAATACAATTTTCAATCAGAGTGAAGTTTAATGACGAAACTACTCTGTTGCCTCTAGTGATCCCTGAAATGCATACAAAAAACACTTACTCTAGTCTCTAAGGATGGACTAATGCACATACAAACAGAATCTCAGCTCGCATATCAACAACAATACCTATAACCAATAACAAAAGTCTGCAATTTACCCACATTTAACAAGGTCATTCCTATGATCTGGACATATAAAGCAAATTCCAGCAACATATATAAGTTATGAATACCGTCACATGTCCACAAACAAAGAACAGGACAAACAGAATTTCATACAAGAAGCCAAGCTATTCCAACTTCATTCTGATATTGAAATCCAACCTCAACGAAGAAATTCATTATATCTAGCAATTTAACTTGACAAGTAGGAAGTCATTACCATGACTCGAATTGCATGTAAACAACAAATCAATAATGCCTGGACTATAGCACATTGCTATAGCTTAAAAGCTCATAAATCAGAAACGTAACCAAGAGTTTTCTCTTGATTCTTGTGGTTCAGAGGACATTTGACATAAACCCTTTCATTATGCTTAAAGGATCTGAGAATTGAGTTGACCAAAAAGTGTACAAAGATGGCATATTTAAAACTCTATACAAACAGAAGAGAGTCGTTGGCTTCTAGTCTAACAAAAGTAAAATGGTCCTCTGTATAATACAGGCAAAAGCAAGACAGGATCCAGTGTTTGCAATACAAAAATTTAGCAAGTACCACGCTATGTACACAAGCAAAATGCTTGGCTTCTTGTCTAACAAAAGTAAAATGGTCCTCTGAATAATACAGGCAAAAGCAAGACAGGATCCAATGTTTGCAATACAATAATTTAGCAAGAACCACGCTATGTACACAAGCAAAATGCTTGGCTTCTAGTCTAACAAAAGTAAAATGGTCCTCTGTATAATACAGGCAAAAGCAAGACAGGATCCAGTGTTTGCAATACAATAATTTAGCGAGTACCACGCTATGTACACAAGCAAAATGCCAAAGGAAATCCATGCATCATAGAGCACAAACTCAATATAATGAAATTTAATCCTCATGCATATGAGCATTGGAGTTTGCATTTGATGCAGAAGACGTCATTGATGATGAATTTCCATTACTACCTGAGTTTGGTGTTGAAAACAAGCCACTCAAAGGCCACGGAAGTGACACTGGAAACCGGCGACCGTTTTCATTCCTAGTATCCTCATCTTCATACCTTGTACCATTACCATTACTACTCTGAGCATTTGTGTTAGCACTTCCATCATCAGACTCAACTTTCGATTCATCAGAGAGCAACTGGTGCCTACAGACTGGACATGTGCTATGAAGCTCCAGCCATGGTAAGATGCAGCCACCATGAAACTTGTGCCTACAAGGCATCTCTTTGGCTTCAGTCCCAATCTCAAAGTCTTCCAAACAGACAGAACACTGCAAAGTCTCATCAATTGTCACCACAGGCAATGCCTCTACAACTTCTTTTTGAGCTGGTGGAGTACCATACCTATTTGGATCATTCTCTGCCAAATGTTGCAGCAACACGTCTAAACCAGGACCAATGAAATAATCACCCAATGAGCCAATAGGTTGGTTCCTGGAATTATTATCCGAACCCTGCACAATGATGGTTTGATTGAACGGATTTATAAGTATAACACGCTCACGATCCCTACTCTCTACCTGTGTCCCTGTTTTCATTCTCAGGATTAGGGTTCTCCGACTCAGCCAACATTCCAGCACGAATACCTTGTAAGAGCTGGAGAATTGTGGCAGAGTTCCTCCTACGCCTATTCATTATAGATGCCAAGTCTGGATCAAGTTGTGTATCGGCTTCACGTGTATGATCATCCTCATCTTCTTCAAATTCGAGATGCCCAAGTCTAGAACGACGACGAGAGTTGCTCATCATGCCTAACAAGATAGGTGCCCAAAGTGAGAGAGCATGATCAGGATCAGAATCAGAATCTAAAAGGGTCTGATTATCGTCTGAACCCATTTCTTCAATAAATCCTAGTTGACAAATGGGACATTTTAACTCAACCTCCATCATGGGGTTCACCCTCCTTGAACAATGATGACACCAATATCTTGACAATCCTCTTCCGTCCATTGAATCTGTCAACACCATAATATTTGTATCAACAAAAGATAAAAATGGAACGAATGTTAAGACAAAAAGTTTGATCCTAGTATCAAATATTAACGTCTTCTATCTCAATCAAATAAACATCATCCAAGCATCAACAAGATTTTAGCATCAAATATTAGGGTCTTTCATTCAAACAAACAATAAATATTTAAGTAAAAAATTACAAGAAACAAAAACCCACAAAAAAATGGATATGGGGATGCAACAAAAAAAGTAGACAAAACCCCAGACAAGTTGATGCAAACTTTACCCTTCCTTGTTTAAAAGGTGTACGGAGATTTATCAAAATTGCACAGCTAAAAACAAACAAAATTCTGCAGATCCGGCGATATAAATGCATAAATTAGAAAGTAGAAAATAATTCAGGATACCTACTAAACAATAGAAGGTTGTAGAAGCAAATAGAAGTTTAACAAAGTAAAAAGAAAATTAAAATTTCTCAAGAATAAACTTATTCCACCAATTGATGAGCACTACAAGAAATAAACATTAAAATATATAAATAAAGTCAAAGAAATGTATAAAAGTAAAAAAAGATAACCTAAAAACGTGTGCACATAAAATACCTCAATTTAAAAAGGACACTTGAAGAGATTTTCTTTCTTTTTCTGCTGTTGTGTTTGTGAACTTCTTATCTAATGAGTTTAACGAGCTTTTGAATATGTAAGGAAGGATCTTTTCTCTTTCTCTCTCTTTTTTCCAAATATTTTTATCTGCTTCCGAATCTTTCTTATGTGGAGCTGGGGCCTACATCAATCAACCAACCCCACTTCTCTTCTCATACCACATTTATTTATGGATTTCAAAAATTACCCCTTTAATTTTACTCTTACCATTCAAAAAAGTAATGATTCTTACTTCAACAACGAAGGCATCTAATTTGGACGAGAATCATTTCTTTCCATCGGAAAATGTAAGTAATGTAACTCAAATTTCCTCAACCTCATGCATTTTTACTTGTTTCAATTGATTTATTTGGTTGGTGTACATAATATAATAATATATTTAATGACATATTTAATTATATCACATGTCAATCAACCATGTCCTTGAACACAACTAATAAGAGACAAGGTAAAGATTACAAATAATTAGGGGTGGGCATGGTATCTAATATACGGAATAACGTATTGTATTGACATTTCTAATATCGTGATTTTGATAATATGGTATTTCATACGGTATTTGGCATACATCTTAACTTTTTTATAGTCGGTACGATATTTGATATTTAAAAATAATATACCGCAATATCGAATATCATATTGAAATATATCGATACATATACATGCAACCTAGTATTAATTTAGACTAAATGCTTAGAAGTTGAAACTTTGACTATTATATTTTGATTGAATTGTATTTGAAATTTAATTTATTAACAAAATGAGTTGTTTGTATTTTATTTTGAATATATTTTTTTACATGTATGATACCATTGAGATTTTTTAAATTATCAATGTCATAATACTCTATTATATGAGTACATATTAGTCGAAATTGAACAAATCTATAATTATGAATTTACCATATCGCAGAATACCGAAACCGAATTTTAAAATATCAAACCATATCGATTTGAATTGATATGGTAATAGTATAATATTTTAAAATCAAATATCAAAATTGTGATATCGAAACTTGGCAATATCGTACCATATCATGCCCATCCCTAAAAACAATTATAAAGAACACTTTCGCGTCCTCGTGTCGCTGGAAGAAAAAAAACAACTACAAAGAACACTTTGCGTCCTCATGTCGCAATGGTAGGGGATCCACTTCCTCATTCTTTCTTTCTCAAAATTATTTTTGGCATAATCCTTGTAATATCTTGTTTGTGAAAAGGCTAATTCTTCATAAAGTGTTTAGGTTTTCCACACTTGTGGTAGAAACAATTTTTTTTTTATGTTTACTTGAGTTTTCTTTCATAGGAGAACTTTTATTTCTTTCTTACCATCCTTAGATACCATCTCAGCATCATCTTTATTGAAGTCATTCATCTGTTGTTTCTTGAGTTCATAGGTCTTTGTCATAATTCAAAAAATTAATGTGATGACACTCATCTTATTTTATCAAGACAAGTCAGTATAAAACAAAATCATTACAATAAAGTGCAGAAATAAGCTATACTTGAAAGTTTAATAACATGCAATAATACGAATAACAAGTCAACATAACTAAATCTCCAAGACATGATTGTCGCGTGCACAAGCCTCTAATGTATTAAAATGGATTTGAAAGAAAACACAAGTCTAATATGATGTTGTTGGGAAAGGCAAGGCACTAACAGGAATGTCAGACAAGATAGCAGCGGAATAATACCCAAATCTCTAAACTTTCCCTTTCAATTTGAATCAAGAGAAGACAAACCAAATCAAGCAATATGATGAATGGACAAGAAATACATCCACCAAACTAAAGCAACAAGACAGGAAAAAACCAATCACACAAGACACAGAGATTTATGTGGAAAATCCTTCGATCTGAAGAGCAAAAAAAACATAGGATTAAAAGCTCAACTATAAACACCAAAAGTTACAAAATTGCTCTCCAAAATTGGGCACAAATCAAGCGTCAAAAAACGATCAACAACAAAACAAGATTGGAACAAAACTAGAGAATTGAAGGAGATATTTCACCCTAAAATGAGCTATTGTTCACGCCCCAAAATAGAGAACTACAGACCTCTAACTCCGATCTACACAGTTGAATTGGAAGCACCAGATGCTGAGAAATCCCAGTTCAAATTTTAGCATGATCCAACGGTGAATGGAGCGGAAAACTCTGTCTAAAGTGCATTGTCTGAGCGGACGATTTCCATAAGTAAAAACAATATTTTTCTCTTTTTCTCTCAATCTCTAAAGTGAATCTCTCTTGATTTTTCCCTCTTGTATTTCTGAAATTAAGACCAAATAAGACTTTTATTTATCCACACAAGAACAGAAAAATGATCCTAAATCCAACAATTCTCCCCCTCGCAACAATGTAAAGGAGACCACCATCCTGACGATCATGCAATAATCCACAAATGTTCCTCCCTGCAAAGCTATAGTCATCATGACGTAACCATTATCATTGATATGGATCTTTTCAAGTTCAAGCCACTTAGAATCCAACACATCTCGAATCCAATGATACCTCACATCAATGTGTTTAGACCGACCGACTATGAAATGTAGAATTCTTTTCAAGATGAATAACACTTTAACTGTCGCAACAAAGCACATACCTCTCTTGAGCACAATCAAGTTCCCCCAAAAATCTCTTCATCAAGATCAAATCTTTGCAAGCTTCAACAACATCAATAAGCTCAGACTTTGTAGTAGATAAAGCAACACATTTTTGCAACCGATGTTGCCAAGACATAGCTCCCCTTGCAAAAGTAATCAAGTAGCCTGAAGTAGACTTACAAGTATCAACATCACTATCCATGTATAAAATAGTATAACCACAAAAAATAGACTTCCCTGTATCAAAACACAAACTCAAGCTATAAGAGCCACAAATATAACTCATAATCCACTTCACATCATTTCAATGCTCTCTTCCCGGATTAGAAAGAAAACAGCTAACGATGCCAACATCATGAGCATATCTGGTCTTGTACACACCATTGCATACATCAAACTATCAACAGTTGAAGCATAAGGAACTTTCTTCATATCTTCCTTCTCACCATCACTAAAAGGACAATGTCTAGTACTCAATTTAAAAATCTGCATGCAAGGAATTTGTCTTGCTAGTCCTAAGTCTTTCATAGCAAAAGACTTATCCAACTCTTGTTTCAACTATTTAATCCTACAAGCATTATGACTAACAACATGTATGTCATCAAAATAAAGCAAAATGATAATGAAGTCACCATCAGAGAATTTATGCACAAAAACACAAAGGTTTGAAGAAGTCTTCTTGAAGCCCAACTAACTCATAAAAGAACCAAATTTCATGTACCATTGTGTGGGATCTTGTTTTAAACCATACAAATTCTTCTTCAAATTTGTAAACATAATTCTATTTTCCTTGAATTCAAATCCTTCATGCTACTCCATAAAAAATTTCTTCATCCAGGTCACCATGGAGAAAAGCAGTTTTAACATCCATCTGTTCAACTTTCAAGTCCAGACTAGCAGCCAATCCTAGACCTACACATATAAATGACATCTTCACAACTGGATAGAATATCTAATCAAAATCAATCCTTTTTTTCTTACTAAAACCCTTAACAACCAATCTAGCCTTGTACCGTGGAACTAGTTACCATCTTCATGTTTCACCCTAAAAACCCACATGTTTTTCAAAGTTTTTCAATCTTTAGGTAACATAATCAAATTGAAAGTATGATTATCATGTAGAGATTTCATTTGATCCTCCATAGCATCTAACCACTTTTCTTTTTTCTTCACTTTTTGTGGCCTTATCGAGAATCCCTAATTCTCCCCGTCAGTCAACAATACATATTCATTGGAAGAATAAGAGATGAAGGTATTTTCTCTCTACTAGATCTTTTTAAGAGAACTCTCCGGAGCATCAATAATAGTTGGTTGTTGAACAATCACATTGTCTTGCATTGGAGCATCAATGATATACTTGTCATTCTAAATATGATCACGATCTCCAATATCAACTTGATTTTCATCATTTTGAAGATTTTCACCTGGTGGAATAGTCAAAGGCACTTGATCAACATCAACTAGGTTGTCACTATTTTGAGAATCAATCTTCTCAACTTTTTCAAGATCTTTAATTTTGTGGTCTTCAATGAGTATAACATCACAACTTCTAACAAGTTTCTTCTCAATTGGATCAAAACACGATATGCATTGCCTAGTTTTAACATCTAGCTTTGACCTTTTCATCCTTAAGAACATGCACAAAGGCTTTACACCCAAAAATTTTAAGATGATCACAAGAAACATTCTTACTAGACCAAACTTTGTCAGGGACATCAACATTCAAAGCAACAGTAGAAGACAAATTGATAACATATACAGTAGTATTAAGTGATTCTTCCCTAAAGGAATAGTACAACTTATCATCTTAAAGCATACATCTAAGTGTCTCGAGCGGAGTCTACACCCCAGACGAGATTGGCGTCGTTGACCTCTCAAAGATTCCAGACAAGCTTACTTATGTCATTCTTACTTCGTCTAGGTTAATTTTAGCGAAAAAATTGAAACTTTTTATGTCTTAACATACATACTAATCATTCTATTAGATTCATAATTGTTCACAATCAACCAT